AGTAAATACTTCATTTTGTGTATCAAGCTATGATTGCTATTTTTATCTATAAGAAATACTTCTATTTGTGTACCAAACTGCAATAAATAATTTGTGTATCAATCTATAAGAAATAATTCTATTTGTGTATCGGTCTATCATAAAAACTTTGATTTGTGTATCAAACTACACCAAATACTTTATTTGTGTATCAACCTAGAACAAATATTTCTATTTGTGTATCAAGCTGCAATAAATAATTTGTGTATCAATCTATAATAAATATTTCTATTTGTGTCTCAAACTGCAGTAAACACTTCTATCTGTGTATGAAACTACAGTAAATACTTGGATGTGTTTATCAATCTATAATAAATACTTTTATTTGCATATCAAACTATAGTAAGTATTTGTGTATTAACCTATAATAAACACTTCTATGTGTGTATCAACCTATAAGAAATATTTCTATTTTTGTATCAAACTATAGTAAATATTTGTGTAACAATCTATAATAAATATTTCTTGGTGTGTATCAATGTATAATACTTTGTGCATCAACCTATAACAAATATCTCTATTTGGTGTATCAAACTACACCAATGAATTGTGTATCAATTTATAATAAATACTTCTATGTATGCATCCACCTATAATAAATATTGCTATTTGTGTATCAAACTTCAATACTTTATTTGTGTATCAATTTGTAATAAATATTTCTATTTGTGTATCAATCAATAATAAATCTACGTATGCATCAAACTCTAAGAAATACTTTATTTATCAATTTATAATAAATACTTCTATGTGTGCATCCACCTATGATAAATATTTCTATTTGTGAATAGAAATTACAATTAATAATTTGTGTATCAATCTATAACAAATATTGCTATTTGTGTATCAATCTATAAGAAATACTTCTATGTGTGTATCCACCTATAATAAATACTTTATTTATGTATCAATCTACAATAAATACTTCTATGTGTGCATCAATCTGTAATAAATATTTCTATTTGTGTATCTATAATAAATACTTGTAAATGTGTATCAATCTATAATACTTTGATTTGTGTATCAAACTACAATAAATAATTTGTGCATCAATCTATAATAAACATTTGTATGTGCACATCAATATATAATAAATACTTGCAAATGTGTATCAATCTATAAAAATACTTCTGTGCGTATCAATCTATAATAAATATTGCTATTTGTGTATCAGTCTATAATTAATACTTGTATCAATAGAAATACTTCTCTTTGTGCATCAAACTATAGGAAATACTTTGTGTATGGATCTATAATAAACATTTTGATTTGTGCATCACTTCTTTTTGTGTACCAAACTGTAGGAAACACTTTGTGCATCTATCTATAATCAACTGATTTGTGTGTCAAACTCTGATCTTTGCCCATCAATCAACAATAAATAATTCTATGTGTGTCACTCACCATTGTCTGGCCCCTGCAGTTTCATAGAGTAAAGCTTGACAGGCTGACTAAAAGCTACAGTGATGAGCAGCTGTGGAGGGAAAAAACCAAAATTACACACTGGTTTGTGCACTTGGAACCAAGTGGAAAGCAACAAAGAGGGGAAAAAACCAAAATTACACACTGGTTTGTGCACTTGGAACCAACCCAGCACAGGAGACAGGAATAGGGCAGCTCTGGAATAAAATGCTGGGCTCACTTCCCCTGTTCCACCCATCCTGGGCCTTTACTGCCCTGTGCCTGGGCATTCTCAGGGTGGAAACCTTGGGAGCCTGCAGAACATTCCAGGTGTGCAGCAGCCACTGGAGCTGTGGGCAGCACTCCCTTGGAGCCCAGGGCTGCTGCAGGAGAACATCCTGGATCCATGGGCAGCACTCCCTTGGAGCCCTGCAGGAGAACATCCCTGCATCCATGGGCAGCACATCCTTTCCTGCAGCCCCTGTCCCACGTGCAGCCCCTGGCCCCTGCCCCACGTGCAGCACACACCTGCTCGTCGCAGTCGGACTCCAGGTAGGAGGAGTCCTTGCGCAGGCAGTTCTCGAAGCCGTGCTCGTCGCTCTCGTTGAGGCACTCGCAGCCAGCCTTGTTGATGAAGGGCAGCAGATCCATCTGGGGACAGAGAGCATAGCTGCTCACAGCTGGGACAGCCACAGCACGGCACACAAACTGCATTTTAATGACTAGGGACATTCTTTATTCTTAGGAAATGTGTATATGTCAATATTTACATTTTCTTAGGCAGCTCTGCCTAAAACCCAGCTATTTGCCTTCAAGCACATTTGTTTTAACACTTGAGCTACACAACAAAGCTGTGGGCAGCCACTCACATATCCTTTGGGGATGTCAGTGTCCTCGCTGTTGCCAGGATCGTTCTCCAGGTGCTGTTTGATTTTGTCCTCCAGGCCCACGGCATCTGCTCCCTGGTACTGGTCGATGCGCACCTTGTTCCGGAAGAACAGGAACGTGGGCGTTGCTGAGATGTTGTTGGTGGCAGCCGTGCCCTGGGAGCAGATGGGAGTCCCCATTAGTGCTTCAGGCAGTCTCTGGGAGCTACCCAGTGCCACCAATAAACCCATTTAGTTCATTTTTTAAAATGTATTTAATTCACCCTAGTGCTGTGGGGTGAGGATCAATGAATTTCTGTGCTTTCCCACTGCTCCAAGGCAGGGCAGCACAGCAGGGATATTTCTCCCTGGCAGGGATTTGATCTCCAGGTTGGGAGCAGTCACTGCCAGGGCTGCTGTGCCCTCGCTGTGCCCATGGCCGGGCAGCAGGAAGGTTCTGGAGCACACACCTGGCACTGGTGCACGTCCACCTCCAGGAATGTCGCCTGCGGGTATTTGTTGCTCAGGGCGTTGAAGGCGGGCGCGATCCGCAGGCAAGGGCCGCACCTGCGGGAAAAGCGACACTTCCATGAATCCCGTGCCTGGATTCTTTGTCATTGCCTGCCCCACATGGAATTGGAATGTTCCTGCTCTCCCTGATATCCTGCTGGAAAAGCAGCCTCTCTACCTGGCTGCCCGCTGCCGATACAATGAACTGTGACATTTGGGAACCTGCAATTTATTGTCTTTATTCACAGCGTTTTTACCACAGTCTTGCTAAAGAAAGTGTTACAAAGGGAAAATACTACTAACAAAAAACTCATGTCTTTAGCCCATCCAGGGAAAAAATTATATTTACACACAACTTAAATATTTAATGGTCAACACGTATCAAATTGTTCCCACAACAAATCTCATTTACAGCTCTAACCAGTTATCCCCATATTTATTTGGCCCTGGGAGGACAGAGTTGGTTTCTTTTGATTAAATTGCATTGCCTTGGATGAAAATGTGTATTTTTTATTTATTCTGCGTCACCAAAAGTGTAGGAAGTGCTCGGCTGCAGCAATTCCTGTAAAGGGAGTTTCTCACTGAGAAAGAGAAACGAAAAGTGGAATGAAAAAACCCCGACGCAGAAAATTGGCAAAAAACCACCCATAACTAAGAGGCAGCAGCCACAAAATAATGAGGTGCCCTATGAACCCCCAAAGACCCTAGATTATCACTATTCTCCCTAATTTCACAAATTAACGGGGATAATTCAGATATCCAGGTTTATTTGGTGACAAATTCATCTCGATTTCATCACAGTCGCACCTCCCTGCTGAGGAGGGGAAAAGGGATAACCTACTTGTCCCGGGCAAATGGGGCGCGGATCAAGGCAAGTTTTATGGGGCAAAAGATGTTTTTGCAAGTTTTAAGTTGTTTTTAGTGCTGTCCGTGCCTTGTTCCCATCACTTTGCTGCCCTTTAACGGGGCTTTAAAGCAGCGCAGCCCCTGCTCCCTCAGAGCGCCTGAGGGATGGCGGGTCCGCGCGCAGTGGGTTCGGCGGGAAAAACGGGAATTTATCCCAGGATCTCGGAACATTGTGTTAAAAATCACGGAACTTAGAAAGGCGCTGATGCTGCGACTGCACTGACGCGTTCCGGAGCGCCCCTCACGCTGCAACCCGCGCCGGGGAAACCCGAATAAAAACACGGCAACAGCGGAGCCTTTCCCGGAGCCTGAGGCGGA